GACCACTGTAAGGTGTGACGTCAATTCAGTATACTGTGAAGCCGTTATTTTTTAGTTTGCTGTATTGGTTACTGTTTAAAACGGCAGGCAGTCCAGTATACTGTCATCCCCATTTTTTGACACTGTTTTCAAATGAAAATATTTATCATATACACGTTTTCTGTTTAACAAGAAAGATTAAGACGAGTTTATTATAACAATATTTATTAATAGTAGTTATTATTACTATTCGAAGAAATTGTTAAATCTCTAGGCGCTGTTATGTTTTTAGATCACGTGATCAAAGTACTGAGAGCACCTTACCTGGAAAGCGCCAGAGCTCACAGTACAAAAAATGGCGGCGATTTATGACGTCATATATTTCTCTAGGGTACTGCGGCAGCAATCCTTAACGGAACGAATTTTTCACCAGTGAGAGCACTGAGTAGTGCTCGTAGTGTATATCAGAACACAACTTTAAACAAATTAGTGCTGCCTTAAGTTTAGACGTATTCCTAAAACTTGAGTCCATAAATTCTGCCATGTTACATAAGATATGATTAGATATTCCTTGAGATCATTTAAGGAAAATAATCCGTGTGTCACAAATATTTGCAGTAAGGGAGTGGCTTAAGTATGAGTCTCTGAGAAATGACTAGATTTTTGTGACATTTGCCGTGGAGACTTGATAGAGACTCGACAGACAGAATCGGTCCGTGAGGTTTAATTTTTAATCGTAATTATTAATATTAGGAAGACGCTGCTGCCCATCTCCTGATTTGTTTCCCTCTGTCGCCTCTTACAACACCCACGGGATGATATGGGGTAGTGGATATTCTTACACCGCCACTACAACTGGTTATAATAAATATTGTACATTTAAAAATGTAAGGGAAAAAATATAATGATATCAATATGCATTATTATTTTAACTCAAGGCGAATGTTTGATAAGGTGAATTTTTAAATAAAAATATCAGATTTCAGTGACAAGAACTTTTATTCAATAAATTCATTAAAATATCGCTCACGGGTGTACAAATGCATTTTTACATCTAAAAACAATAATTTATTACAGAATAGGAGTTTGATGCATTACAGTTGTATCTACTTTGTGCGTTCAATTTGTTCTGTTCTCATTTAAATAATTAAAATATAACAAAATCTTAAACCTAGTAATCTCATTATTAAACATTAAGCTAGGAGATTCGATGACTTCAAAACGCATCTGATTTTTTTAATATTGCTTTAATTACATAACAGACTAACTTCTAAAAATTACAGTTAATTATACGTTACATATTAAAACATTATTTTAACAAAGCTGTAAAAAATCTAAAAAATGTTGTATATTTGTACAATAATATCTCTCTAAAAATCTCATAGAAATGTAAACTGTATAAACCTCCTCTTCATTAGTACTTAAATGAAAAGAGAAATAACTACATGCTATCTCTTTCTCACAGATACGTAAATCCTTAAAACATGGGTAATAACTATCTTATTTGAGGTAATTTTAACGTTCATTATGAGCTTAAATTTTTGAGTTGTTTGAATTTAAAAATAATTTCCTTTGTACACACTTACGTCATTAGTTATTACATGAAATCTTTATTTATATTTCAGTTGACCGTTTGGCCTTGTAACATTGTATCGAATCCTGACTCAAATCAAAATTTAGTTGCCATATAAATTACTGTTGAAGACAGATGTTTCGGGACTGTTGAGTGTACGTTGCCGTTTGATCATATTTCAAACCATTGTGGATTGTGAAGTGCCGATACGAGCCGCGAGTAGTTATTTTCAAAAATGCTATCTGTTTCATATCGCTCGCTCTGCCTCCCTCCGGGCGTGATAGAGAGAGTTGCAAGTCTCGGAGGTAATTTCCTAATTTTGCTTTATGAAATATTGTTTTTTTTTTGTAGAATAAAGTGACAAACGAGCACACAGTCCACCTGATGGTAAGTGGTTGCTATGGCCCATAGATATCTACATCTATCTTCGATTGCGAACGAAAATGCAGATGCGTTGTCAGCCGTGAGGACTAAGATAGAATACCTCTTTTCCAGTAAAGAGGGTCTTCGGTTCTCTACACTCACCATACGAAACACAGCAGCATTAGAAAAAACAACCTTTTTTCTACACTTTACAAGTGTCTTTAATGTCAATTCGAGGCCAATTATCTCTCTAAGAATCCTCCAGACATGTCATCTAAGAAAACCAAATCTCAATGGGGTGACAAGTCCTCACATACTCCCACAGAGCTTCCAGCCACTTTTGATAGTGATGTTCAAGATAGATGCGGTTACGACCTTACACTTGCCAAAAGCATGGAGGTTCCTATACCAAAGACAGCACCGAGAGCCGACACCGCCAGGCCAGGTTCAGGAACTGCGCCACCCCAACCATCTACCAGCTCTGAATCCCACAAAACCCCCTCTGACACTCCCCAAGAGGATCCACTGAAACTGTTCAAACAGGGCTGGGCCAAACTCAGATCAGACTGTGCCTCCAGCAACCTTAAAATAATTGAATCCAGACGACCTGACACAATCAAGCTAACGAAACAACAACATCCCTTCCAGGCTCTAATGTCACTCTGCTCGATGAACAGCGGGAGATTCTTGGAAAGGCACGAATTAACATATTTTTATCCAACTATTTTATACTCCTCCTATAAAAGGTGTCAATAATGATGCACCAGATCCCGGATCTTTTCTGAGAAGAATGGTCGCCTCCATGATAGGGGGGAGAGGTTGGTGTTACGAGAGGTCATGGAGAGCATGTCCAATTTGTCAGCCGATCAAAAATTGGCATCTCAGTATGTTCAGGATCAGTCTGTATCACTTGCTGAAAAAAATTGGAGAGCACAATCATCCCTGATTGCATCATGTCAAGCTAAGGTCGAGGCTAGGCTTGCCAACTCCAAAAAAGGCATTTCCGGGATTACCCAGATCGACATCCGGGACTTGGGTATATTACGCGGGACACAACACACCACATACAAATTGGTTAGAAAAAAACACATTGGTTATAAAATTCACTGCATTTTTGATCAAAATTCATGTTAATTTGTAGTTCAGCCTTGATGTGGTCAACAAACAGCTTATTTCTACTGTCTCTCCATGCATTTCCACAGAGAGAAAACCCTCTCTCAGCTGATGCATTTGAAAGTGGTATCGAAACTACAGCTAAGGTGTAGTTAGTACGAGATAGATACTAATATCATATAATCTATGATTTCCGGGACAAAAGGCGTCCCGTAAGGGGTTACGACGTGACGGTCCAAAATTGACCCAGAAGCGGGACATCCCGGAAAATCCGGGACGGTTGGCAAGCCTAGTCGAGGCCCAACTCAAAACTTTCATGGAAATTTTAACAAATCCTGTGAATCTACCACAAACTCAACAACAACCCCAACCTGCAAAGAGAATTATAACATATACTCAATTTACTTTTGAGATTGAGGAGGATAAAATAATGGTAAAATCTCATGTTGCCGCTACTAAGGCTGTTCAGTTTATTGAGACTCAAATCAAGACATTCATTGCAGAATATTCAAATCCACTGGAATAATTAAACCATTCTAATAAGGAAATTGATGAAACAAGAACCCTCAATGGACACTATGGTAGCAGTAGGTCATGAATCAGGTTGAGAGGTCAAGTCAGAGTTAATATCCGCAAAAATTAGGCTGCTATTTTAAGCTGGTATTCTGTGAGAGCGTGGTCCTTCCCCGGTCGAGCCGACTCATTCATGCTACAACTATACTATTAATATAACTGCAGCATGGCTCTACCACGGGCGATAACGTTTTCACCCCCTAAACCGAATAATATATCTCCCCGTTGGTGTCCTAAAAGTCGATTAATGAGATATTTGGCTTCTGACAGATGAATAACATCTTATATTAGTTGAAAAATAAAAGGCCGAACCGAATACGAGGAGCAGTGCGAAAAGTGCGTATCATCTAGTTCTTTGATTGACAATCTGTTTGTAGTTGTGATGACATATTCTCCACACAATAAGAGATACCTATATCTAACAGTGTTAGAGGACTGTTTAATGAATTAATTTAGGTCAAAATTAGTATTTAAATATGCACTATATTTGCGTTATTCAAATACAATTTGCACATACTATGACGGCCTAATTTAAAGTATAAGATGTCCGAAATTGTAACACGCCTGCGAGGAAGTGATTAAGCTACCGACAATTTCTGATTAAGTTCGGTACTATTAAAGAGATAGCATGTTTTTGAATATATTTCCCTCTACACTTACCTACTCTTTCTACAACCAGCTAAAAACTAGATTACTATTATAAATGAGTTTCATCGTCAATTCATAGACAATTTGTTTTAATCTGAAGCTTGTTTTTATAAGGCACAGACTTATAAGGCACCGACAATATTCGATTATTTTTATTCTTAACTGTACAAATTTGTATATTAAATTTAATAACTACTATTTATAATTAAAATAACGTTAACAGTAGTTATTGTACTTAATTAACCATGGAAGACGATCTATATAAAATCTTAAGCTTACAATATTTACAAAAAACGAGTTTTGTCTTTTTCAATCCAGCAATAAATGTACTTGGAAATCTTAAAGCGAACTAAATTTAGAATTTTATAATTAATCAGTCTGTATTATAACCATGTCATGATCATGTTATTACAACCTTTGTTTGTAGTATATGGATCAAAAATTACGCTTTATAATTTTGCTTCATAAAGCTATTAGGTTGAAACAACTATAAAAACGTATTTTACACGGAAAATATAACCTTACTAAAGATGCGCAATATCTCTTTACATAGTAGTTATTGGCATTTATACTGCTTTTTTATTTTACTTTTTAATACGATTCATGTGATGCCCTAACATCTAATGACTTCCGAAGCAATTAAAATTGTAAGAATAAATGTCAGGCTTCGAAAATGAATCATAAATGAAATAAAACGCCAAAATAAGAATCGTTACATTTTTAACGTGTTTCAACCTAAATATGTAGATTACTATTGTATCATTTGTAAATATTGATTTTCTTCGTAAAACGACGACAACGACGTTTGCAGATCGTTCACAACCATATTATCGCCTCCTTGTAACGGGTGAGTGCTGCTCGAAACCATTTCCGAGCTCTTCCAATTCTCACAGTTCTCCACGTATTCCAGGGTTCGCTGGTACGTGTCCTGTCGCATTGTGTTCTGATTTTTCTTTCTACTATTCGACGCTTCTATTTGAGACTGAGAGATGTCCCACACTTGGACGTCGCTCGCTTGATTGTTTTGACTCCTAACGCTATTCATACTGCAGTCGGTTTGCTGATCGTTCTTCATCATTTGGTTGCAATTAATTGACGCCCTCGTTCCGTTTGCAGGTTTCTGACTTCCGGTCGACATGTTGATGGAATTTTGGGCCGATTTCTGCATATTGTGTTTGTTGAATTGATTCCCTGGATAGTCCCATTGGTTGTAAGAACGCTGGTGATTGTAGTACTGGTTGTTGTTCATCATCGCCTGGTTGTATTGGTGATTGTTCTTTGGTGGCGGCGGCCCCATTACATTCGCGGCGTTCACAACTGAGTTGTATGGGGGCGGTTGGGGATATTGCATGTTTGGGTTGTACTGTTGGTTTTGCTGTGGTAGGCATTGGTTCTGTTGCTCGCAATAGCTGTTTACACTCCGCATTATGTTGCCGCTGTTATCGGTGCTCATAGCAGAAGAGCGCGACATTTGCATCGGATGCATCTGATTATTTTGGTTGGGATAGTTCATCGATTGCTGATAGTTCATCATCTGATTATTGTATATCATATTGGGGTGGTTCTGTGGTATCGGTCGCATCGCTGGCATTTGATTTTGATTGAACTGCTGCATAATTTGATATTGTTGCATGTTCTGCCCTCTTATGTTCATATTTTGTTGATTTTGAATGGGATAAGGAGGCGCCGGACCGTAATTTTGATTTTGGTATTGATTAGGCACGTTAGTGTAGTTTTTATTTGGAATTTTCGCATTGCAGCTCTGTCGATTGTTACCGTAAGGGGGTACACCTCCAGCCATTTGAGGGGGCTGGTTAAGATTCATGTTCATCATTACGTTTTGCGTTTGGTTCGTCACTGGCGGTCCGTTCATCGTCATGTTTGACATATTTTGGACCATTGGACTGGTCAACGGACTTTGTAGACCTGGGTGCATCGGACTTGACATACCATGGCTCATAGGGCTAGCGATGTTTTGCGCCATCGGGCTTGCCATGTTCATCATGGGGCTGGCGATGTTTTGAGACATGGGGCTTCCGAGGTTATTGTGTCGCGGACTCATCATCATTTGGTTTGGCATTTGCGGACTCATTAAGCTCTGCATGCTTTGTGGGCTCATAGCGTTATGCTGAGGTGACATGACGCTCATGACACTCTGCGGACTCATAACGTTGTATACACTAGGAGGACTCATGACACCATGCGGCATATGGTGAGGACTCATTCCACTTTGCGGTAGGTTGTGTGGACTCATTCCGCTCTGTGGACTCATGGCACTATGTGGCAGACTTTGAGGACTAAGCATACTATGAGCTAGGCTGGGACTCAACACGTTCTGAGGACTCATGACTATCGTCTTCGGACTCATAGCCGGAGTCTGTTTCTGAGGTAGGGGATTGTTTATTCTCATTCTATTCGACTGCTCCGTTTGATTCGCTGTCATAGTTTGGAGCGATTGTAGCGGGTTGTTCGTTGTTGCATTACTGGTCGGTGGTTTAGTGTAATCAGGTTCACATTTTTCAGTTATAACCTCCGGGATGACTTGCTCCTGTAGAGGAGTACTTTTGTCTTCTGGGGTTTTAGTAGCTAATAGAGAACCACTATTTCCCGACATACTTACGTCTAATGATCTTAAATCAACTGGAATATCACTTATATTGAGATCACTTCCTATGGCACCTAAGTTTTTGAGTAGAGAATCGTCACTGGTTGCAACATCACTGATTTTGTCACTCGAATTGTTCGCGTTCTGTATATCACTCGTTATATCGTCTTTGGTTGTTTCCTTCTTGTCTTTGCTGGGTTCGGTTTCCTTTGGATTGGTGGAGTCCGTTTTTGCTGGTTTTACCGAGTCAGTTCCCAATATTGATTGGTTAAGATATTGCATCATTTCGTCTGGTATCACCAGCTTGTTCTCCACCATTTCTCCTTCTGCGACCTGGGGATAAATTATTTCACTGTAAAATAAGTCCGATAGTATTTATATATTTATTGTTTGTTATTGAAATCGCAAATGGCCCGTGTGTATAGTAAGCCCTATTTGAGCTTCATTGATGTATCTATTCATCATGTATTCATATTGTTTCTGGAACTGTTTTACAGTCTGATTATATAAGAATCGTCAATTCAAGCGTGAACAGTTTTGTAAAGCTAAGAAAGTACTCATTACAGTTTTCGGCTCGCACCGATTCACTCGCTTACCATCAGATAGGATAGTAGTCAAACACACCTTGTAATAATAAAAAAAAATATATAAATTAGGAGTCCAATGTACATTTTATTTTTCTAAAATTGGTATTAATTATCGGCATTGACTAAAAACATGCAATTTAATAATTTTAATACTTCGTTATTGGTTAATTATAAAAATAAGACCTTTGGTTTTTAGAAATAGATCTAACCTGTTCCAAGTTAACCTCCTGGTTAGGGTGATGAACTTGAGCGGTGGTGATGACCACAGTGTTCGTAGAGTTGGAGCGAGACTCCTTGTACGTTACCGGTTCGTGCTCGTCCTCCGTTTTGAATTGGAACGGAGCGTCGCCCTAAGTAAATTGAACAAAGTTTAATAACTAGAAATAAATACTTCTCTATTGTTTTTTCGATTCCCATGCAATTCCTTATAAATATATTTATTAATTTTAATGCAATAACACCATTGTATAAACACTGTCTGCTAGTTAATGTCTACCAAAGTCTATAAACTGTTTAACAAAAATTATTTGGTCTAACATTAATTTCGAATATGAGAGAAACTCAAAAGATTTTAGAAGGCGTAAGAAATTAACTGAAATGTCTCCAGTCTCAACTCTACAAAATTTTTCGATGTCGTAAGTCTCGTGTTGTCCAAGTCAATTTGACTTAAAGTGACAGAGACAGCATGAAACTTAACGGCGTCTTAAAATTGAATAGCCTTTGAGTATTTGGACATTAATGTGATAAAATCTGTTTCGTTAGTTTTATTTAAAGGAATTTATAAGTCTGTAAAAATGTACATATAATAAAAGTACACTGCTGGACGTGAGTCTAATATTATTATGTTTAGGAGAATTTTTCTTGAACGTCCAAGATTAGTTGTTTGTTTTGTAAACCGTGAACGTTGATTTCGATAATTCTAACACTAATTTTCTACCGACTTCAAAAAGGAAGAAGTACTCATTTCGACTGTATGTTCTTTTTTTTTGTGTGTTACCTCCTAACTTTTTTCTACGTGAACCGATTTCGATGATTCTTTTTTTATTTAAAAGCTGGTGCTTCTTTTGTACCCATATAAATTTGATCAAGGTCTGACCAATATTTTTTGAGTTATAACTAATAACTTATATTGAAGTCGGTTGTACAAATTTTTTAATTTTTAATTATTATTTTATGTGATTAGGAAACTATGTAACTAAAATAAAATGTGGCGCTGTCATAATTTATGTTTAAATGAGGTGCTCTGTGTTAACGTGGTTAGAAGTTTACTTCAGATAAGTATGTAACTTTATTTCGTATTTTTATAAAAACAGTAATTGTCGTAAATGGAAATATAACTGCGTGGCATATTTACCGTGCCAGCTACACGTTCGCGGGCGCGCGATTCACATTTTGGTACATTGCTAGGGCTATAGATATTTTAACAATGTTAAAATATCTATAGCCCTAACATAGAGTAGCATGCGAGTGATATAGACTTTTGCTGCATAAGTTCTAAGTAAATTCCAAAAACAAACCTTAACAATATTGACTTTATACAATAAAAATAGTTATAAGTAAGTCTCACACTTAGCTTCTGATTTGTGTAATCCTAAAACATTGTATGAATTAACAGCAGTATCAAAAAGCATTGAACAATCATGAATTAGATTCCAACTATGGACGAAATACTTAAAACGATATGGACAAATCTTCTGATTGAGTGGGTTCTGTGGAGATTTAATCCATAGGTACCGAGGTACCGATCGGATATGATTTTGCACTGAGTTGCCTATCTTGTAATATACATAGAAGCCTTGACAGTGATTTAAGAAAATAAATAATCTGCCCTTTGCGAAATAAAGCATCATACAACTATATTATAAGTAGTAGTCATTTGTCTTACCACTTCGTCGGCTCCACATGGGTACGGCTGATAACCCTGGGCTTGATCACTCAGATTCGACTGCTCCGATAACCGTCTCGCTTCTTCTTTCACTTGAACGTTTGGGTCCAGTTCGAGAGCTAGCTCTTCCGCCCTCACTTCCGAGCATGTAACCCCTCGGAGAAGTACAGCCTGGGGTAAAAAAACATAGTTAATAATTATGTAAAATAAAAACAAAGTTAATAAAAATGCCCATCAATGTCTTTAGATGAAATCAGAAAGTTAACTTTTTTGTTGCTTAGTAGTCTTACTTATTCTAGTTTATGTATATAAATAATTGAATTAATATAGGTACATATTAATTCATTTATTTATTACAGCCTACCAAAATATCATTGCTGAAGAAAGGGCTCTTTCATAGATTGTCTTATACAGTGTATGTAAAATATTAATAAATTAAATATTTTTTCTAACGAAGTGTAATTTTTGTTTAATTAAGTTAGAATAACTATAAAAAATTACATTAAATTAGATGCTTTCGTTTCACTCTAGCAACGATATGATACGTGTGAGGTATCGATTATTTGTGTAATTTTTTCTTCATTATTCGCTTACTTTATGTTCCCATTGTGGTGTGATGAGCATCACCGAGAATATTTTATTATCTCTATAATGACGTTTAATGATTATCATGTAATTGATGAATAAATGAGTACAAACTAAATCGGTTTTCTTACCTGATTGCCCTGTGAAGTTCTCACAGCCTGCACTGCAGCAAGTGCTGAAGATGGCGCTGGGGCGTAGCCCACACAGGAAACTTGACTAGATCTGAAACAGATGCTGTATATTACTTCAAGCCAGCACCAGCACTTACTAAAAACTGTTCAAAAAGACTAAAAGAAAAGACTTTTTTGATTCTCTACTGATGATGTCTTTGTGGTCAAAGTATCTACTTATCATCACGTGGATTGTGTGATCGTTTGTCACCCTTATTTTATTTAAAAAAAACTTGTAATATTAGTTAGTCCACTCAAAATGGTAAAAAATAAACTTTAAAAAGTACTTTTTTGAGTGGACGTCAGTCAAATTGTAAGTAATTTTCGATGGTTATAGAAATAGATAGATTACTGCAATAACTTTTTCTCTAATAAGATATCATTAATCAATTAAATCTGGATCTGTATAGTGCAATATAATAACTCATTACAGTCCATAAAAGTCCACTGCAAAACATTGGCCGCCATTGGCAGAAAGGCCATACAGTACAGGCCAAAGCCAGTCCCAGGTGGTGTTTAGTGGGTAGGCACTTATGTTTCATAGTGAGTCCTACATAACCACGCAGTCGGCTGTGTGCTATGCTTAGAGCATTCACCTCCTTTCTCCCCGCTTCCCGGAGGGTAGCCCTTTACATTGTTTTAGGCGCAAAAAAAATGGCCTCCCCTCTAGATTACAAGAAGTTTCATTATACAATATTGTCGTGTTAGTATTATATTTATTTATTTATATTTGTGTATATATACATGTAAGTATGGACTTATGTATATATGAACTAGCGATCTGTCTCGGTTTCGCACGGGTCATTTCTGGATTTTGACAATAGCGCGATCTACCGGGTCTAATTGTGAATGTAAACCATCTGGGGTACCTTGGACTAAACTAAACAAAACTTGGAAACTTCTGTGACAAACACAAGTATAGAAGAATTATACAATATTATGTATAAATAAATATACATTTATGTATAAATATATTATGTGTACCTGTGCGTTAGTTTTTTCATTTCTTTTCGTTAAAGTCTTTGCCAACACTTTTCTAACTCTCCCACGGTTGACTGGCCGAGAATGGTACGTACGGCATTAAGTTCGCTCATTGTGAAATCCCAATGTGATTAATAAACGATATAAATAAAGTAATTACACATAGAGTGATAGTGACATTCAAAATTCCGTTCAAAGTTGAAGCAACAACACAATGAATGTGTGCATAAGCGACCTGTAATTACGTTTGCCCACACGCACACAAGCAATTGAGTAATGTTTGGAAGTTAATGACATTTTCCCAAAATGTGGGAAATTTTTGTTAACTTATGTAATATTTAAATTATGTATGTATGTAATTTCTTGTGTTATATTCACAAATCTATTATGTAATTATATTATTTTGTTGGAAGTGGTATATTTATATATTTATATATTTATATAAATATCTGTTATTTATCTTTCATAAAATCTTATATTATTTGTAAATATTAATTTTTTTATAATACTCAATGGCCTTATTCTATGATATATAGAGAAGTGGAAGAAATGGAGGAGGCAAATGCCTACGTCTATATCTTCCAGTTTTTCCAATCCAGTCCCACTTACACTTAACAAGTGTATAGTTGTCAGATAATCATTTTAGCTGTCAGATACTTTTTCATTAGTTATTCTTTACTAACTGTGGCTGTGGCCCGCGGCTTTACCCGCATATTAAAGCATACACTGGTTTCGATTCTTGCCATTCTAAGAATCTACGTTATATATTTAATTTAAACCAGTTTCAACGTAAAGGTTACAACATACAACTTTCACAGAATGGATATAATATTAGAAGGAATCACGAGAATTAAGAGTGCGGTCAGTTTTAAGTGATTATTATTATTACGTTATTGGATATTATGTTTTGCATTAAAACAAACTAAGATTCGGAAAGAGATAAACCATGCAAATAAATCATAAAAAATGTTTATTAAATAATAGAAAACAAAATAAAATATGCCTAAGTACTTAAAAAAATATCTCTTAATGACCCTGAAACTACAACTGTTTTCTATACAATTGCCGTTTTGATGACGCTATCGCTACGATAATTTTTTTTAAACATATGTAAATTAGAATAAAAAAAAACAATCATTGGCTATGTTATTTATCCTAAAACACATACCATAAAAAGGTAAAAACAACTGCATATTATCAAAACAAAATAAAATCAACACATTTTTTTTTCGTGGCAAATGGAAACCCAAATTATATTTGGCAAATAAAAATACCTATTTATATGTGAATAAGACTATTGGCAGTATGTATGTATTTTTTTCAACATGCATTTTTTTATAATTATAATAATAAGAAAAAATGGGGTAAAATATTTTACTATGCCTAGCAACATTTTTATTATATTGGCGTGTGTCAAATTTATTATTTTATCTTGATGAATGTTTTTACAAAAATATAAGATGCTAGGCAGTACTTAACCGTGAAATGAGATTTTTACATTTTTTTCGTGATTATGTGATGAGTTGTGACACCCTTTCACAGTACAGTACGACATTTTTTTGAAAAATTGTGCGAGCTGTTTACACGAGAACGTAGACTCGAATACTAGCGCGCTAAAAGTCGTACTTAGCCTTTAAAGGCTAACTTGAAATGGCTTCACTTTGCGTGCGCCTACTGCGGCTCTAAGCCTAATACTTGTATGAATAAAGGTATGTATACCTGCGGCTACTGTCAGGCGACAGCGGGTCGTAGAGGGCTTGGTGCGCGGCGTGCGCGGCGAGGCGCGGCGCGGCGGCCGGCGCGCCCGGCGCGCCCGACGCCACCGACGCCTGGCTGCTCTTGCGCGAGATGTCCGACGACCTGCACAACCACCACATCTATTTTATTAATAACTACCTGCTACCCGCCACTCGACGACTCAACTCGGCTGGCCAGCACAGAAATTACGACACATCTTCTCGTCAGGTACACCTCAAAACTTGAAAACTTAACTGTACAATCAGTGCGTGTTGCCAGTGATAACCTATGGAACTGAAGACTAGGTCCTTCACTGCTGGCCGTATGAGGAAGCTCAAAGTCGCTCAGCGAGCTATGGAGAGAACTATGCTCGGGGTTTCTCTGCGTGATATCCACAGTAGAACCAAAATGACTGTTTTACGCTGATATCATGTGAATCCGTTGTCCTTCCCCGGTCGAGCCAACCCATTCGTGCTACAACTATAATATAGTTACAGCACGACTCTACCACGTACTAAACTATTTAAGAAATTTATTTGTTTATACAAAGTGCCACAAGATAAAACCAAATCAACTCACTTTAATGCTGCCCAAGTATGCATTAAACAACGGAATAACAATATTAATATCAAAATAAATACATTTTATAACTTCAAAACAGTTAAACATGTTTGGTTGTTAGCAATGGACTTCTATAGGCCGTAGAAGAATAAGAGGAAGATATTTTAATTTAGCTTTTAACATATATTACCAATCAGAAAGCAACAGATTCTGATGGTATAAAAAAAGAATAAAGAAAGAAATCGTCGTAATCACACACAAAATACTCAGACATAAAAAATAATAGAGTCGGACGGAGTCGGTCTCTTTGTACTACAAAATTGACATTTGAATTTGAAATTTGGGCTTTTTCAAATATCGGACACATTTTAGGATGCTATTATGTTTCACTCTTGATTATATTAGTGGGGGTACTTCTGAACACCTTGGGACAATGTATAATTTATTAATATATATTTTGATGAAGAGATTGCTATGTAGCAATAAGACCTCCCTTTGTATTTCCCTCAATAGTTGTTATTTTTTTTTTTGATGTTGTTATCTTTTCTTGGTGTACAATAAAGAGTATTGTATTGTATTGTATTGTATTGATGTTTTAATTTTATTAACAAGTAAACCAAACAAATTTTAAACATACCTGGCGCTATAAAGACTACTTCCGGAAGAGATCCCAGAGTCTCGCCTCGTGTTAGGAAGGCCCGTTTTCAACTCCACCGCCACGTTTGTACTCCCTATCTCAGTCCGACCTTGTATACCGCCTGAAATAGAAATTTATATTAGATATACAACGTATATAATGTTTTTAACATTATCCACAAAGATATAGTGTATAATCTAAAGCGTGACACGTGGTGCATTGCGTTGCTCGCTCACTCATTCACTGACTCACTCACACAATGAAACGATGGGCAAGTGCCCATGGATAAAGTTTCCCAGCAGGCACGCGCTGTGCCAATGTTGTGTTAAAAGCGTGGCGCGTTGTGCTTGGCTCGATAACTCATTTACTCACTTTCTTATACTTTCTTTTTTTGGTAATGGAGTCATACGGTTATAGTTTCGCCAGTGTCAAGTTTTATGGAATTATCCTTTACATTAATTTGTTAAAAAACTTCTCTACGATATGTTGATATATTACATTGCGAAGTTATTGGAAGATTTTGACAGAAGCTTAAGTCAACAGATAGTCGATGACGATAGTATCTCAAGGCACCTAAGCTGACACAATAACTTGAGGTTCAGATCACCATTGCAGCTTCTGTTTCATCGTTTCCATTAATAGTTCACATGCAGACATTTACAATACAAAATCGCACCACTTTTACGTATCAAAATTCTCATTTCAAAACATTATTTAAATAATACAGAATAAAGAAGCAGTAAGTAATCTGCTGGCGGATTCTTTTTATAAGTCAAGTTCCCGCCAAAACGCAGGGTGCACCGATTCATACTTAATGAGGGCTAATCATTTTCCGTTCACCAGATGTCACTAGTTAGGACTGAGGTTTCACCTCATTATTTATAACACAGTGTCACCATAAGTGAAAAGTTGTGTTTCAAAGAAAATATTTTCGGTTTTAGTGTATATCATGTACCTATGTACACAAGACAATGCCTCATTAATCTTATTTCTATGAAATCCAAATATTTCACCTCATCTAAGTGGCGCCGTCCTGTTGGTTTTTTTTTTATAGGATAGGGTGACAAACGAGGATACCGTCCACCTGATGGTAAGTGGTTGCTGTGGCCCATAGACATCTACATCTAGCCTCGTTTGCGAATCAAAATGCAGATGCGTTGTCACCCGTGAGGACTAAAATGGAATGCCTCTTTTCCAGTAAAAAGGGTCTCCGGATCTCTACACTCACCATACGAAACACAGCAGCATTAAGCTGCTATTTGACGCTGGTATTCTGTGAGAGCGTGGTCCTTCCCCGGTCGAGCCGACCCATTCGTGCTACAACTATACTACTAATATAGCTTCAGCATGGCTCTATCACGTATAAAAAAGTTGAAGCACTAGTTACCTGCGGGCAGGTCGGGCGGGTGCGGCAGCAGGCGCGCGCCGGCCGCCATCTTGTGCCCGAAGCGAGGCGCGTGCGGCGCGTGCGGCGCGTGCTGCGTGCGCGGCTCGCCGATGGCCACCATCGCTCGGAGCATTAGCGGCAGTTGGCCCACCTCGCCCACCACCTCTTGCTCCACCTGTAACACAGCGCAACTCTTTATTTCTGGTACTTTATACAATAGTATAAAATATTATAAGTCTTTAAAACTATAACTCGTAGCAATAACCAATAAACCAAGAATATCCACTACTCCATATCGTCTCGTTGGTGTCATTAGAGGCGACAAAGGGAAACAATCCAGGAACTAAAACTAAAAAACTGCAGTTGCCAACATGCCTGCCAAGCGTGGATTACTATGGCAAATATGAGGTAATCTATGGGGAAGTCCATGTTCAGCAGTGGACTTTTGATAGGGCTGTAACGGTAATAACTAAGCCATAATAAATAACCTGTATGCAAGCATAATAGAATCCACTATCCCATTGTCATCCCGTGGGTGTTGCAACCGTGTATTGGCGGTATAAGAATGAATACCCACAACCCTATATCATTCTGCGGGTGTCGTAATAGGCGACAGAAGGAAACTGAAACAAGAGATGGACAACTGCATCTTCCTGATAAAAACTCTCAATTATAAAAATCTCCGATTGCCAACCCGCCTGCCAAGGATGGGAAAATCACTCCTATAAAACAATATATGGAAGAGGTCTATTTTCAGCAGTGGATTTTGACAGAAAGCTAGGAAATTTGCTGAGTGTTCATAGGCTGCACCCGCACATATACCATAAGGTAAAGTGACACATGTGGCCTGTCTAAAGTCTCTCTTAGCTATTCCAAAAGACTCACCTCTCCGTCGAGTCTAAAGTAAGGAGCGCCATTCTCATCACTGAAGCCGCCAAGTCCAGAACCACCAAAGTCCAATTCTCCCCCACATTGCGCTGAAAGCTGCAAAACAATATTATTAAGTTTGAATTTAAAAAAAAAACATTATTAAAACACAGATTTAATATTTACTTATATACAAGCTGTTACTAATAAAAATCAAAGTTAATTTAAAAAAAAAACTGTTAATTGGTCCCCATTACTTTCTCTTTTCACTTAAAAGTAATAGAAAGAGACAGGTATAGAGGCAGGTGCGGCCGCAGCCTAAAATTTTGATGGGGGTCACTAATCTACATTAATATAATAAAGCGGAAGAGTTATTTGTTTTTTGTTTGTTTAAATCTCTGAAACTACCAGTCCGATTTGAAAAATTCTTTTTGTATATTATAGCCAGATTCATGTGGAATAGTATAGGCTATCTAGAATTAAGCTAATTCACTCAGCTAGCCTTAAATATAGTTATTTGTTAAGCAAGTCAGAAGAAAAAGCACTCCCGAAATGACTTATCCGCGTACGCTGGTGTTATCGTTAGGGATACGTAACGTACTCTGTCTAAAAAAAGTCCGCGATACCATATGTTTATTTCTTATACATAAGCCATAATTAGGTATTTTGTGACAAAAAAAATATTGAAAATTTTAAAGTGATTTATGAGCGTTATTATTAGGCATGGCCTATTTATCCTTACGAACGAAAGTTACTTCATCATCAAGACAATTTTATGACGATAAGCTTTGTTCTTTATACCATGTTATTTGGACGCATAGTTTAAGAGATAATGTAAAATTAAAATAATTCAATACTTGGCTGGGCGCGCGAACGACACATAAACCCTAGCCGCCCGGTGAGAACTGCGAGAACTGCTCAACCGGGAGTGGGAGGGAAAGTTGATAAAACTTAACTTCGCTCTACATCATACATTATATGCCGACAGATAAAAGTACTCCATTAATTATGCCAATTTTTCCATATTTTGCTATCAAATAAAATATTTAATTGCAATTATAAAATGCTTGAACTAGGTCATGTCGCGCACCTCCGACACGTGATGACGCGGGTGAAACCGCGGGGCACGGGGGATATTTTCGGTTTTTATATTATGTATTTATGTACACAAAACAATGCCTCATGCCTCATTAATTTCGCCTCTATGATCCAATATGAATCCAAATATTTCACATCATATAAGTAGCGCAGTCCTGTTGGTTTTTATTTATAGGATAGGGCGACAAGCGAGCACACAGTCCACTTGATGGAAGTGGTTGCTGTGACCCATAGACATCTACATCTATCCTTGTTTGCGAATCAAAATTCAGATGCGTTGTCACCCGTGAGAACTAAGATGGAATGCCTCTTTTCCAGTAAAAAGGGTCTCCGATTCTCTACACTCACCATACAAAACACAGCAGTGTTAAGCTGCTATTTTACGCTGGTATTCTGTGAGAACGTGGTCCTTCCCCGGTCGAGCCGACCTAATCGTGCTACAACTATACTATTAATATAGCTGCAACATGACTCTACCACGTATAATTTTTATATTTATATTTGAGTAGAGGTCATCGTAGCAAACTTTGATTGTAGAAACCACACACTTAAGAATTGCAAAAATTGCAGCAATTTGGGCCTCAAGTTCTAATCAAAGTTCAGAGTGTGAATGTGAATATCTTCTTTAAAAAAAAGACTCTCATACATACCTGGTGTGCCGGCGTGTGTAAAGCGTGGGGTAGTGGAGAAGCGGGGCTTTCGCTCTTGACGGATGCTGAGGAGGTATGACCGCGAGGACCAACAGTGCCGCCCTCCTCCGAGCGCGGGGAGGAGCCGGCCCCCCCGCCCCCAGACTCCGCGGAGTCATCCCCGCGGCTGCAGCCTACGAACAGAAAGTGATAATGATGTTATTGGCTCTGCCAATGAATTAGCGCTGTGTGTTCGATTTCACCTACTATAATAATACACAAACTATAACAATAAAGAAGCACTAGCAGTAGCATCTGGCATGAGATATGGTAAAAAGATCACATAATATACAATGTACTCCTACATTGCATATTATATAAAGCTTTTCTAAAAGAGCTATCACGATTCATGAAACATAAGAAGCAATGTACTACAAAGTGAATATTATATTGATTTCAACAAAATTAGCGAATAGGCTTCAGATGCAAAATACTTTTGGTTACGCGAAACAGCGTCAAAGGCGCATGACGTCTGATACTGCAATCGCCAACCCGCCTGCTAAGAGTGGCGATTAGGGCAAATCGTCGAAGCCCTTGTCCAGTAGTGGATTATTACACATATAATTTAAAATTAAAAATGTTGTACAACTGACTTCAATATACATATATTATTAAGAATAACTCAAAAACTATTGGTCAAACCTTGATCAAATTTATATGGGACCACATGAGAAACACCAGCTTTCAAATCATCGAAATCGGTTCACCCAGAAAAAAGTTAGGAGGTAACACACATAAAAAAAAGAAACATAGAGTCGAGTGAGTACCGTCTCCTTTTTGAAGTTGGTAGACAAGAAATTTCTAACTGGAATATAAACAAAAGCAGTTTTATCGAATAGTATTTACCTTTGTGCTTTTTACTAGCGTAGAACTCAGCGCCATGGACAGTTTTAACGTGTTTCCTCAGTGACGATGGATCCGTATACCGCTTTGTGCATCCGGGCGCTTTGCAAACGTATGGTTTCTGTAAAGATACATATGTTTTAATAAATATTTCATATAATATTAAAAATTTAATCAAAGGCTTTTTGTTCCTTTTCTATCTTATGGTAGCTTCGGGGTCATACAATCTAACTATTGAGTACCCAAGTTTACAGAATATCAGACGACTGGGCATAAATTTCAACCGCAGGGGCAAATATTTGCTTAAAAACAAATTATCTGTTTCATGCCTCTGAACTGAAATTTCTTCACTACAGAAAAAAATAATTCTTAGATGGTAATTCATGTTGTCTTAGTAGCATGTAAATTACCCCCTGAGCTTACAAGTTATTTCAATATTGCAGACGGACACTGCAATTATATATATATATATATATATATATATATATATATATATATATATATATATATATATATATATATATATATATTCATAAATAATGTATTGGAAGGTAGTTAATTTCAAAACAAGGACAATTGTATTCACAGGTATTATCATATAATTTTTTAAGATATTGGCCATAAACATAACTATTTCAATACGCTTTTGCGATGTATGCCTAAGCAGGTAACAACTGTTTGTACAACGTTTGTTTGTCCTTGGGCAATAAATGTTTGGCCGTGGAAGAAAAAGGGGAGATCTTCCGCCGGACTAAGTGTTCAGTCCGGAGAGCGGCCAAAGCTTCGTGTGTTATATCGGATCTGTCCTATATATAACGCGGTAACTTCGGAACTTTGATAGTGCTAAATCGCAGCTTCGGTGCGTTTCGCTTGTAGCGCGCTGACAGTGCCGCCACATATGTATATAAAAGGCCTCCATGATACAGGACAGAACTGCCTAGTGCGGAGGTAATATTTCTATAATTTAAAAATGAATCGCTGAATGTGTTGCTAAGCGCAAATCTCGAGAGCAGCTGAACCGATTTCGCTAATTCTTTTTTTTATAATATTCCTTGAAGTACGAAGATGGTTCTTACGGAGAGAAAAATTTAAAAAATTGCCTGAAAATGTCTAAAAACAACACTTTTCTATATTCCCATACAAAATATTCGTAACAATACTTAAAAATCAATTTGAACTTTGATACCATACCATAAAGTTGAAGTTTTAGTGGAGGGATTTCGGGAAGGCAAAACAATTGAGTGACGTTAGTATCGTGTAAATATATCGTATCGTATCGTAACGGATCGTATCGTACAAATATTTGTCAATATTTATACGATGGAAACTTAATTTCGAATAAGTAAAAATAAAATGAAATATAATAAGTAGGTATCATATTAAGAAATCAGAAATTGTAATTTTCATTTTCTTTTTTTATCTTACTAGCTGACCCGGAGTCCAGAATAGCAAAGTATTAAAAAAAATTAAAGAATCGACTGTTAGGCGGTACGAAGTTCGCCGGGTCAGTTAGTTTAAAAATAATTAAGTATTGTTAGAGCATTAGTAATGTTACATACCTCGTTACTATGCGTTCGGTTTTGGTGCTTGGCTCGGTCACTGGCGTTGGAGAAGGCTTTAGCACATCCGGGGTATTCGCAGGTGTACGGCTTTTCCCCTGTATGGCTCCGTAGGTGAGTTTTCAGGTTCTCTAACCGCGAGTATGCTTTGCAGCATCCTTCAAACTGAAATTTAATAAGATCACATAAAATACATGAGGCGCTCTTATTCCAGATGTAGTTATTGATCTTTATAATATAGTAATAAGGAACTGGATAATCAAGGCCAAGTTAGAGCAGCATAGCAAGACCTAGGTGTGACTTTTACCCAGAAAATAGTCCCTCCACTTTGTAGTTACGTTTCTATAAAAAAAATCATGACTATAATACTTACGGTACATTTATGAGGTTTCTCGCCAGTATGCCTCCGCATATGCACAACCAGCATATATTGAGCTTTAAAAGGCTTTTCGTCCCTTGAGCAGCCGACCCATCGGCACACGAATGCTTTTTTACTGGCGTGGATGTGGTCGGTGTTGATGTGCTTCACCAGGTCGTCTTGTGTCGGGAATTCTAGCTTGCAATCCACCTGGAAATAAAAAACATTATGCTGTATGTTCAAACGCCAAGACAGGATTATAGTGTACAAGTATGTGCACAAAAACTGTTGCACTGTCAATTCCCACATTCTCATAGTCCGATGGGACGGCAATCAGACTCGAAAGAAGGGAGACCTGGCAAAGAGACGGTAGAGAGTAGGAAGTACGGGAGGTACGCGGGTGAAATACCACCAAATTACTGACTCCGGGCTGAGAGTTTCTTGACGGAAAAATCCAATAACTGATTTTGGATTCAAACCACTTGGACTACGTCAGTCGCTCTCACAAGCATCCATTCCATTTATCCATTACAACCTATTCATTAAACAATACACTTATACGTCAGTAGCCTAATGGCGGGGCGCGGACCGCGAACTCGAAAGGTCGTGGGTTCAAATCCGCTATTCGACTACTGTCGTGAACCACTTCTAACACAAGTTTTTTAAGCTTACCAGAAGTGGTTAAAGGGAATATTAGTAATGTTTAATAGTATTAGATCTTTACTTACCCAATGGCAATTAGTCTCGATGAAATCACCGGGTTCATCCTTAGAGTCAAGGCCGTCGTGGACGGTACTCTCTGCCGCGGCTGACAATGGTTTATTGCTGTGCATGCTTTCTCGATGTGACATCAAACTTTGTGGTGACTTCCCTTGATTTAGAGCAGTCGATGCGCTGTCGATAGAAAAATGACGGTCAAGAGCTAACTATAATCGTGGCCAGTACAGGGAGAGTCTAAAGGTTGAAAGGCACATGGCACATTATATAAATGTACGTACGTTATTTAAAATATACAATGTGACGGCTCAAATATAAGTGTAAAGTATATAAGTTGAATTTCTTCTAGGTGTAACGTGTGTGATAAAGTTTACTGTTAGTGGCTTTTTTTTATAGGATAAGTGTGACAAACGAGCGCACAGTCCACCTTGGTAAGTGGTTGCTGTGGCCTATAGACATATACATTTATCCTCGATTACGAATCAAAATGCACCCGTGAGGACTGAGATGGAATGCCTCGTTTCCAGTAAAAAGGGTCTCGGGTTCTCTACACTCACCATACGAAACACAGCAGCATTAACCTGCTGTTTTACGCTGTTATTCTGTGAGAGCGTGGTCCTTTCCCGGTCGAGCCGACACATTCGTGTTACAACTATACCAGAAATATAGCTGCAGCATGGATCTACCACGTATGTGGTAGACCCAGGCTATCAAAAGTCAAATTAGGCCTCCACACAGATTACCGCATAAGGGAGATATTTGCAATAGATGCCACGCTTGGCGGGCGGGTTGGTAACCGCAATTTTATTTTCCGGTCGTTGTTAAGAAGACGCTGCTATCCTTTAACTGGTTTGTTTTCCACTGTCGCCCCTTAAGAATGAGGTAGTTAATATTCTTACACCACCACTTAACGGTCTTAAAATTAAAAGTTATTGATATGAAATTTAAGAATAAACATAAAAGTCGTCATATGCAAACAGTTTTTGATAAAATCGCCCGCGGCGGTCATCCGTCAGGACCGAGCGGCGGACGAGATAAGTCATCTATACAGGGAATGATTATTTATTCTATCACATCACTATCAGTTACATGTACCTGAGTTCGATGAAATAAAAGTCGGACAAGGAAGTGATTTCTTAAGATTTCAATGTTGCAATGCAGGATCAAAGAAAGACGATGACACACTGCAGGAAAATTGGAGATTACAGCTACAACTCGTTTGCAATTAAGACTGCTCTACGCTACCGATAACACATTTTGATTTTTTAAGATGATCATTCCGCCATGCTTCCATGACACGACGTTTTCAGGCATTTACTTTAGTCTAATTTAAGACACACAGAGGTGAGTCTGCCACGAGTGACTAATAAGGCAAACCCTTATAAGCAGGTCCCTGTCTAGCAGTCTTCTACGGACTGATAAAGTAAAATAAAGAAGGGAGTTACATAAGACCATAAACTATAATCGAAATCGCTAGTTAACTAGTCTAGTAGCAGAATAAAAAACGTAACAGATTTTAAAATCAGAAAGTTTCAATAACCAGTTATATGAACATCTAAAATCTTATATAGATTAACAATAGGGTCGCCGGAAAGGTAATACCCATAGATAATAATTCTATGGTAATACCAGGCTCCTACCACCAATATCACTAATATTTCGGTCATCATTAACATGTACGAAGGTCACGAGATCTCTGATAAGGATATTTTACCGTAAGTACAGAGTCATCTTTTGACGGTTACAAAGTTTTGGAAGTAAAACTGCATTAAGAGTTTCACATCTACCGAAAAGTACATATTTTATTTCAATAATAATTGCTAATTATAATTTAATAGATATGATTAACAGCTTAAGGTCTGACAGAAGGCACGGAGTATTTCTGCGTAATATTAATTTTTTTTTTCAATAATAATATCTGAGAAAAGGCACGGAGCATTTCTGCGTAGTATTTTTTTTAATTTTTTTTTCTATTTCAATAATAATTGCTAAATATAATTCAATAGATATGATTAACAGCTTAAGGTCTGACAAAAGGCACGGAGTTTTTCTGCGTAACATTTTCTTTTTTTTTCAATAATAATAACTGAGAAAAGGCACGGAGCATTTCTGCGTAGTATTTTTATTTAATTTTTTTTTTCAATAATAGTAATACAATCAGTAATGAAGATATCCTAAGTAGAACACAAGTAACTGACATAGCTATAGGATTGGCTGAAGTGGTAATGGACCAGCCATGTGATACGACATACTGACCACCGCTGGCTAAGAAAGTTGTGTAGAGTGGCTGCCGGTAAGTAGAGTGTAGGACGGACTGACAACCTGATAAGACATGCAGAAGTGGTTCAAGGCCATGCTTTGTAGCATTCCTTGGAGGAGCCTGTATGCAGCAGTGGAGCAATGAAGGGCTGTTATGCTGATGATGACACAACACTGACTAATTATATGTTCTTTTTTTTATTTAGAAGAAAAAGCAAGCTCGCATTTTATAACTTACCTATCAGCTTCCATTACGCTAGTGATTTCTGGCTGTTGAGGCGGTTGCTGTTGGTGTTGCGGCGCGCTCCCATCTAGACCCAGACCTTGTCTGACGTCCACAGGACCGCCTAGCAGAAGTTGAGTCGGCGAAGATATGTGAGACCTGGAGCAAATGAATGAAGAATTAAAACTTATACCAAGCAAATTGGTTAAGAATTAAGATATAATTGTATAATATATATTTCTCAAAAACTTGAATAATCAAAAATACATAATGTAATTTGGTCACCCGGTTAATATGATCACTTTTTTATAATTCGCAAACTACAGCCTTGTTTGCATAGATGGCTCTGTGAAAGGTCAAAGGGGCGCTGCTTTATCGACGCCATTTTGACAGTTGAGAATATACTAAAAATTTTAGTCGATTTTGGTATTGTGTAGTGTAGTTAGTTTTTATAAGTTGATGTTTCGAAGTGTTTCTAATTATTGATTGGCAAAGCTTGTTTGCTATTTTTTTCTTAATATATTAGTAATAGTATACAACTTTGTGTTTTTGTCTCTGTCCCCCTCCTAGTTTTGCTAAAAACATAATAATGATAAGCCGTGTACCTATGAATCCCAGCTACAAGGTGCGCATGTGCCGCATGATGGGCAGCCGCGGCAGCCGCTTGCTGGTGTGCAGGATCAAGAAGAACTCCACCAGCTAAGACCCCGCTACCACCGACCACGCCACCCCGCGCCAGCAACTGCTGCGCCAGAGACGCGTGGGATAAAGATAACGCTGGAGATATTGCTCCTGGAACAAACTCGGAAGTTTAGAAAATAATAATATAATATTATTGCAATCTCATGCAAAGCAATAAATCCTTAGCGAGATGTAGCGTCCTTTTTAATAAACGAAAGCAAAAGAGAAAAACAAAAAAAAAAAAACAAAGAATCAATATGACATTTCATTAGAGATACGTAATCAACATTATAACAAATTCAATTTTTTTTTATAGGAGATCATGCGGCTCACCTGACGGTAAGTGACTACCGCCGCCCATGAACAACTGCAACATCAGGGGAATTGCAGATGCATTGCCGGCCTTATAAAAAGGAGTAGGCTCTTTTCTTGAAGTTCCTTAAATCGTATCGGTCCGGAAAAATTGCTGGTGGTAATCGATTCCACAAGGTAATTGTGCGAGGAAGAAAACTTCTTCTAAATCGCACAGTGGTGGACCGCCAATCATCCAGATGGTATGGATGGTATCGCGAGAATTTAGCGGCTGGAATTAGTCCGAACAATTCCTCAGAGCAATCCTCGTGGTAAATGCGATAAAATACGCAAAGAGATGTAACATTTCTTCGCAGCGCCAGTGAATTGAGCCGATCGGAAAGGACTCATAAACAACTGATAAAGCAATATTACTTAAAATAAATGTATTATCAGCACATGCACCTTCGACCGAAAAAAATGTTAAACAAAAAAGAAATAGAAAAAGTTATTATTAAAAGAATTGGCTATAAATTACCGAAAGATTTAATCCAATCCTCACCAGCACTAAGGTGCCCATAGCTGCCAGTAGATGCTGCAGATGGTGCTCTCACAGCTAAGCTGGCCGGAGACGCCCGGATCACTGCAGCAAGGTCCAAAGATTCTGCAGAATAAGGACTCCAGGATACTGCACGTTTGCGATTTGCTGATGCGCTTATTGCGCCACCGGATAACCTTAATCTCGTGGGGGAGGCTATTCTTGATCCTGGAAGATTCAAATGATACAGATAATGCTAGAAATATCTTTTTTGAAAGAAAAAATTACAATTTTGTGATTATTACTTGTCTATATTGTGCGCCTTCCGTCATATGAATACCGAAGAGGGGTAGTAAAGATTAAAGTCAAGCAATTGTACTTTAAGAGCAATGCATACGATTTATAATTTCTTAGTTTGATCTCCGCTGGCACCAGTGGCATTTTTAATTGCAATTATAAATGCTGATTTTCTACGTGCACGACGGTGAAGGGAAATATCATAAGGAACCCTACATGTCTAAGAACATTAATAAAATGTTTCTAGGACATGCAGTGCAGAAACAGATACCTACGTCGTATACCGGGTTATTTTTTAAAGAGTATCCAAATTTTATATTTAAGTTCAAATATATAAATAATGATATACCGTTATGCAGTTTTTGAAAATACGAGTAAATAAGGCTTTTACTTTTATTTTAAATTATCCAAAATTTTATGTAATTTATGGACAACAACTATGCGTACGCGCGATCCGCTATGTGCGATTCAATTCACAATGTTTTTGACCCTTACGAATGTGTGCTGCGTAATTAAATCGTAGGCGTTAGATATTTATGAATGACAATCATTTATAATAATGCATTACAATGCATTCTGAATTTAAAAGATAAAAGGACAGAATGTTTGAGATTTTTTTTTAATTAATTTTTCTTCAATTACTTAATTCTAATCTTCTCTTCAAGTTTGGTAATATATTGCAAAATAACCCTTTATTACAACTGCAGCACGAATGAGTCTGCTGGACTGCGGAGCGACCACACTCTCAAAGCATATCGGTGCACCAGTGAGTGTAACGATGCATTCTACGAGTATTTTAGTCATTTTAATTTTTAATCGGAATAGATATAAGTTTTTTTTTTTCAAAGAAGTTTCACAGAATCCACTTACCATCAGGTGGTTGTGTACTCGTTTGTCACCCTTATACTTTATAACTTTTCTTTAAATTTTTAAGTAATAACTAAGCGAACTGGAATTTGTGTGTCATTAAATAAGGTTTGAATATTTTTTTTTATAGGATAGCGTGACAAACGAGCACACAGTTCACCTGATGGTAAGTGGTTGCTGTGGCCCAAAAAAAAAGACTAAAAGACTAAAAATATACATCTACATCTATCCTCGTTTGCGAATCAAAATGCAGATGCATTGTCACCCGTAAGGACTAAGATGGAATGCCTCTTTTCCAGTAAAAAGGGACTCCGATTCTCTACATTCACCATACAAAAAACAGCAGTGTTAAGCTGCTATTTTACGCTGGTATTCTGTGAGAGCGTGGTTCGTCCCTGGTCGAGCCGACCCATTCGTGCTACAACTATAGTACTAATATAGCTACATATAGAATATATTAAATATCTCACCGTCTAAACTCAACTGAAAGTCTTGACTTGCCAACGTACTGCCAGCGTGTAGTTCTGGATGTAGACTTCTTGCCGCGCTTAAATATTCTAAACCTGAAACAAGTAATAGACATATTACAAGACTTATACAATTCGTATATTGTGATGGGATAAGATGGTGATTGAAATGATCTACACGTAATAAATAATACATCAAACGCCCAGACACATCTTGTTGCCTGAAAGTCGAAAGAAAAGCAGCCTCTAGGGCGCTATGGGTCGTGGCTTCGATATTGAATAACTGTTCCGAATCTGTGTGTTCATCTGTAAGCAATTTTTGTATGTGCCTCCGAGGATAAAAGAAAATTTCTTGAGTAAGAGTAACTTAAATAAAAATATATAATGTATCTCTACGAAGGTTACCCTACGTTTTAGCTGCTTAAATATAAAGCAAATTAATTTTTATATACGCTTTTTAGCTTAGTGCCAACTATATTATTCAATATGGCTGGAAAATTATTGCTTCTTAATCATTTTTGGTCCGATCTACGCAGAATGAGCTTGAGAAATTAATATTGAAAAACTGAAGGTAGCCGGGTTAACTATTACATTGATACGTCAAACACCTGACCCCCCCCCCCCCCCTCGTGACCATGGGTGCTGTAAAGCACCCGAAACATCGGGAATTAAAAGTTTAAATTAAAGGCGATAAAATCCGTAAAAATTAGTTTCATTTAATGTGTAGTCTTCGCGTGAATATAAGAAAACATTACGTTCCATAGCGCTATAAATTAGAAATGCTAATGCTTTGAAAACAAAATGTTTTATAACCATAAAAGTAACCACAATCTAGTTTAAATATATTAAGTCTCATAAAGAGGAATCCGGCGGATATTTATAAGGCAACCAATCAAACTGGGTTAGTCATACTAGACAGTAATAACTGCAAATTGAGATGTCAACGAGCTAGAAGCAGTTTGAATACAAACTGCCTACTTATCGCCGTAGGTGATTAATAAATAGATGGAATTTGTATTTTATGAGCGGTTTCGCGTTAGTATGATTTCGTTTTAATTTTGTTTGGTGGCACCAAATATGCCGACGATAATAGGGTCTCCATGGGTATGGTTGAAATTTGGTTCCAAATTCGTAAGCATTCTTTACTGAGTAAGACACTTGGAATTTCTTTTTCTTAACGTTTTTTCCTTTAAATGAAGGGTTACAAGCTCTCATAGATATTTCTAAACTGTAGTGAAGTGTATGTTTACACTATTAGTGTTCACGGACATTTTTATAAGAAAAGTGGTGGAAGGTTTTACTGTCACGGTATTTTATATTTCCTCCGTTTTAGAGCCTTCCGGAATTTCTAGAGATACGACGTTAAAACCTTTAGATGTATAGACGCTACGTACGTTGACAATTTAGCGACCGCTCAAGAGACATTGTTTTAGTCTGGGTAGGATCGGAAAGGCGGAAACAGTTAAGTTGAGTAAGTGGCGCAAATATGACAATATACAAATAAGAGGTACGATAATATACAAACAAGATATATCTAACCTCAAGAGAAACTTTGTCATCTGTGTTTTTCTTGAGGTTAGATATAACCATTAAGGAAATGCAGTCAGTGTTCTTTGTAGTGTCCAGCGAGCGGTAGAGCAGACTACTCTTTTATGTAATTTATGAGCGACAAATGAGCTAACAGTCCGCCTAGTGGCAAGTGAATGTCGCAGCAAACCACTACGCGAACGCATATAAAATATTGAAGCATTCCTAGCTGTAAAAAATTACCCAACTCTAATTGAGCTGCGAACGAATTTAGTTCGAATGCCATCACTATCATAATACTTATTAATTATAACTTACATTTCACCTTATTATATAAAACGTCACTGGCGACGAGTGACGAGCACGATGACGTCACATAATAAACGCAGCAAGCGACTTATATGATGTATGGCAATCGAAACTAAAAAACATTTTTTTATAGGATAATGGTGACAAACGAGCACACAGTCCACCTGATGATAAGTGGTTGCTATGGCTCATAGACACCTACATCTATCTTCGATTACGAATCAAAATGCAGATACGTTGTCACCCGTGAGGACTAAGATGGAGTGCCTCGTTTCCAGTAAAAAGGGTCTTCGGTTCTCTACACTCACCATACGAAACACAGCAGCGTTAAGTTGCTATTTTACGCTGGTATTCTGTGAGAACGCGGTCCTTCCCCGGTCAAGCCGACCCATTCGTGCTACAACCATAACATAGCTGCATCATGGCTCTACCACGTAAATTACGATCAACATTTGACTGTGCGTCCCGGAATCTTTATAAAATACAATAAACTGTATGATATTATGACATACATGATATTGAAATATTGTGCCACGTTGCGCACTTAACTCCCTTGAGACTGCCATGTTTTATTTCTGAAATTGCGTTTACTAGTAAATATTCTTTGCCCAAAAAATGCTGTACCTTATGACAATGATGATTCTTACCTACACGTGGTACCAATTTTTTCGTACCTTTACGTGGGTCAGAAATGAAAACTGAATATCGGATATTTCATCTCATTTCTGCAACAATCTAGAATCTACATACGATTGAGGTTGATAGTTTAATAGATTAGGCTGAGAACAAATTAGCGTTAACAATCTTGTTAATTAGGTACATATATTTATTAGCGAATGCAGAACGATTGGCAACCCTGGTAACGGTTAATTGGGCATTCTAATGTAGCGATGCAGGTTTTCCGTATTCGACAATGTCGTGATCACTATATGGCCGTCTTTATTGCCCGCTTTATTAGTCGCTGTAGTAGTAAATATTATGCTTGCAGGCGAAATAATAAGCGCCGTTTTAGTATATTTTATTTCGGAGCATGTTCCGATGACTTTAAAAGTGGTAACAAAATGCAATATTTATAGCTCAATCATATAAAAAGTTTATTTTATTTTTGGTATCAAATAAATTTGTTTCTGTTTCAGCTTATATCAGATCACATAACGTATATTTTTGCAATGTATAAACAACAGTTTAATTCGCCAACATTTGAAAACATAATTTACACAGTTTACAACTTGTCAAAATAACTCTTAAGACCGGTGATGTTCCATTGAATAGTTTAAACACAGCCTTTAACCAGCCACAACTTATTAAAGCCTAGTCTTCGGTAATGAAACATAGACATATCCACCACGTTACTTCAGTTACGTACAGTTTACGGGTATAATTAAAGATGTATAATTATGAAAGGAGATCTTATTAAACTGTAACTTAAGTATAATTTAAGTGCACTGAGTTACCGGGTTTAATAATTATAATTATTATTACAGTACAAAAATAAATGAATATTTGTTTTATCTTCACTCTAATTGTCTATATCAATAATATCCAGAATGCACTGAATTACAGGTATGATATGCGTAAGAAAGGAGTGGATGAAGATATGACATCTAAAAGAGGCAAATTTAAAACAAGGGCATGATATGCCGATTCTAATTAAATTGGGATAAGGGCAGGAAGGAGAAGATTAATTACATATTTAGAACCTTAATACCAAGTAGCGGCGGTGTAAGAATATCCACTACTCCGTATCATCCCGTGGGTGACGTAAGAGGCGACAGAGGGAAACAAATCAGGAGATGGGCAGCAGCGTCTTCCTAATAACGTTGAAAATAAAAATAGCCCCACTATGAGGCAATCTAAAGGGGAGGCATATGTTCAGCAATGGACTTAATAGACTGTAACAGTAACGGTAACCTTAAAACAAAATTTGGTTATACAAAAAAATTGTCATTCCCAACACACTTATACAACGCTCAAGAAAAAAGGTAGAATATGTTTCGAAGGTCTGAAGTAGTTATTTAGTTATTAATCAAAGTTAATCAACGGGATGCCTCATCGTGATTGTGTCATGGCAGTCACGAATTTCCATAACAATTATACGCCCATTCCTCCGAAAACAAACACGTTTTCAAGGCAAAAAAAGATAAACTAAAACGCCTTGATTTGGCGATCACGCTCCGCCGATCTGTCGGGCTATTTGGCCACAAATAATGGGTTCATACGAGAGGCGTTAGGGACCACCAATTTGGCGAGCGCCCACAACAAGATGGGTTTCTCGAAAACTCACGGAATTAACGCATGTGGTCCTCTTTTGACGCGCCGCCCGGCGACTTCCAAAATTTTTATGTCTTCATCTTCTGTGAGAACCGACGGGAACATCGATATTTGAATCGATAAATAAAAAACAAAACAAATCATCGATCGAGACCAATGAGTCAGTCCGTTTCGAATTCCATTAGCGACTGAACTGGCCACTCGTACGACATTCGTGTAACCGCTCGCAAAAAGCACACCCAAAATTCCACTTTATTGTATTTTTTTCCAATAGTCGTATACTAAGCAGTGGTTTGGATCGATTGGGTCGCTTTTTGCTTATCGATAATTCGAATACGCATCGCTAAGTTTTCGACTGATGTATTAATTTTTATCGATCGCGATTGGGCGTAAAATTTTTAACTGGACGACATCTAGCGGTCTGCGGTCACGTTGAGCGTTAAAATATGAATTTCAATAGCTTTGTTAGGCGGCTCTTTTGGACGTGGTGTGCACAGTGACTTTGTAACGGCGTATACTAATGAGACTGGCTGTAAATTATGACGTCGGTTGTTATTCGAATGTTGCGGCGAGATGAAGGCAATGCGACGTGAATTTGTAATGTCGGCGTGGTTCCTTTTTTACCTATTCACCTCATTTTAAATATTCACAGACGCATAAAAAATGGCCGACATTTAATGTATTTAATTTAGGGAGTCATATGTGAGCGCTGTACTCTTTATAGAGTGATTGATGAAGATACCGACATTATGTATTATAAAAGTTATCGTATGATATAATGAGCGTAAAAATAAAAAAGGTTCAAAATATTAAGTAATCCCCAAAACTGGCAGAAATATAAACGACTAGGCTAGGCTAACAGAGCAACTGGGAGCTCTCCCGTTAACAATCATATCTAATTTGGCAATTCTAATAACGCTTATTTACAACGCACATATCGGTGTACAAATACAGTAAAGACTATATCGGACAATTCCATTATCTAAACA